CCCAGAGCAGATGGATATTTGCTGATGGAAGCCACAGCTTGTGGAAGGGAARCGGATTCCTCTCTTACATGAGCTGTGGTCCATGAAAGACACATTCTGAAACACATTTGTCCTGAAGGACGCCAGCCTGTGGAGAGGCCCTGTGCTAGAGCAGGAGAAAAGAGTGAGGAAAGAAAGGCCCAAGAGGAACTGTTATGCACTTACTGTGAACCATCCCACTGCACTGCTCAGCAGGTAGTAAAAAAGTCAGGAGTGATGGAATGAAGTTGTTCCTGGAAAGCTGAGAGCTCCTCCTGGCTAGAGAAGAAGGTGTTGATTAATTGTTTTTTTCTTTATTTCTGATTACATACATGCATCTTAAGTGACATTAACTTAAATTGATTTTCTTCGAGTCTGCCCATGATGGTGASTGGTAAACCCACAAGCTTTATCATCCTGTTTTCTCCCCCTGTTATAGTGAGGAAGGAAAGTGAGTGAACAGTTGAGTGGGTGTTTGACCTTTTGCCAAGGTTAACCCCCCACAATGTCATTTTCTGTTTCCTTAGGGTAAAGTAAATGAGACTGCTGTGTTTTTCGTGAACTGGTYACTGCGTCAGAAATAGAGCAATTACACTCCCTTCAGTAAAACTGAATACAAACTTTTAAAGCCTATTGTAGTGAGTCTTTTTCTGTTTTGTCCTTTAAATCTGAGTCATGCACTTTCAATAGTCAAGGTTGTTTGCTATGTCCACGTTTTCACAGGTGCATACAAGTGTCTATTAAAAATTTTGGGAACTCACTTGGCAAGCTACAAATCTTTTGTATTTAGGTGACACAGTAAGTGAAATCTTGGAAATACTCTAGATTTTCTAAAATAGAAAAGATAGTACTGCTGCAGTAGTACTTTACCATTTTCYCTTTCAATAAAAGATCTTTTCATTACCTTATTGTTCAGCTTTTATGACAAAATTATTCCTGGCAGGAGTTATTAGCACATGATTTGACAGSAAGAGTATGTTGGATATTCAATCTTCGTTGTAAAAGGCTGAAGCTTTTGACTTTACAAAGACTGTTGTTGCTGCCCCTTCATTCCTCTTTATGTATRTCCCCAGGATAAAAAAGAAGAAATAAGTATGGAATCACTCCTGTTCAGAATGACAGTCTTTTGATGACTTACTGCTTACTAAAAGCCAAAAGTTTTGTAAGAAGGAATAGGTGGAAAGGTGTTAAAAAGAAGAACCTGGTGCAAACCAGAAACTGCTGTGATAAATTGGGGTGTATGGCCACATGACTGCATTATTCCAGCTATATTTCTATATATGCCAACAGTATGTATACATTACAGCATTATGTTGGTTTCCTTGTGAATTGCAGAAATCCACATCCCTTGCCTACAGTCATGTGGAATAATAGAGTAAACTTATTTTGCTAAAGGTGGTTAAAAGCTGTGTTAAATATACTTTTAAAGTAGTTTTTTTGGATATTGTTAAGTGTGTACTTAGAAGCAACTGTAAGCATCATAGTCCAGTCTCTGAAAAGTGGTCTACTTGAATGCTGTTGTGTATGAAGATTTAGGATTCTGTTGCTTGACCTACATAGAGCTCTTTTTAGGGTTTAAAGTTTGTGACTTTGTGAGCTACATATGATTTCTCTCAGCTGATGAAACTGACATTCATATATCTGCTGGCTGATTCAGTAGGGTATGGGTTTTTTTTAATAGCTAAGCTTTCCAAGGTGTGGTGSATGGAATTAGAATTGCCTTTTATTCATATACATTCTGTGTTGTTCTTTTAAGTCTGTAGTATGAAGATATTGAAAGCCATGTGTTAACTTGCTGTGCTGGTAAAGTTTCTGTTGAAACAACAAATAAATTGCCATTTTTCTTTCCTAAAAAACCCCACCTGTGTCTGATCAGCCTTGGATTCAGCCTCAACAATGTTTGTTTCTTCAACTGATAAAAAACATTAAGATTTCTGCCCACTGTCCTCAGAGCTGTATCCTGGCAGACATTGATCTCATCTGCCTGTGCAGTAAAAGTACTCTTAAGAGATTTCAGGAGGAGTTCGGAGTTCTCTCCTTTGGGTTGTTTTTTTTTTTTTGTGTGGTTTTTTTTTTTTTTTTTTTTTTTTTTTTTTTTTTTTTTTTTTTGTTTATTTGTTTTATTTGGCTTGTGTTGGCACTTTATTCAACACCAAACCTGTTGAATTCAAGAACACGAGTATTTGCAGCTTCATCCCATGATGTCTTTCATGGTGCAGAGAGATAACAGAGCTTGTTAGCACTTGACATACTTTCTTTTTCTGCTTGTGTGCCTCCATTATCAATTAATGTGTGCCCCATCATTTACCATCTATTTCTTTACTCTAAATCTTCTGTCACAAAGCTTCATATCTTTATATATTACAAACTATGTTTATTTCTGGTTTTCTGCTATTTGATTTAGTTGTCAGTAAAAATGTTTTAGGAACATTCAATGACAAATCTTCTGATTTGGATTCTTTTACTGATTTGGATTAACATTCTTTGYTGATGAAATTGGAGAGGTTTTCTACTCCTAAACATGTAGAAAAATTTTGAAACATTATATCTGTATATAGTTAACACAGGTATGTAAAAAAAATTTCTGTACAATTTGAGGTCTGAATTAAAAATCGTTTATATTTGGCAGCAGCAACAGTAGTAAAGTTTGCACTTGTGAGAAGGATATTACAGATTCCATCTTTCAAACTGAGTTTTGCAGCAGCCCCAGGCAATCCAATTACAGTGTATTTTACTACACAGTCTCTTTTGTCTTRATAGAACTGTTTGCCTCCTCAGCAAAGATTGCGTCCAAACCTGTGTGCAACTGTGAAGCTCAGACCCAGCTCCCTTTCTCCACAGACGTTTAACCTGATCACTAAAAAGGTGAAAGCAATAGAATGTTTCTTAATACGTATCACCAATCCCATCTGTTGTCACAGGAAATTATTTCAATATCCAGAAATAGTTAAAAGTTTTCACTTTTTTTCCAATAACTTGTCTCTAACACAATCTCAGGTAGCTATATATAAACTCCATGTATATGAATCTCTCTCTCTCTCTCTCTCTCTCTCGCTCTCTCTCTCTCTATATATATATATAAAATTCTAATGTACTTACTGTACCTGATCAGCTGTGACTACACTAGCAAAGCAATGAATTTTATCTTCTGTAACTTTTTTCTCTTTTCTGTGCTCCTTCTCAGCTTTTCTCTAGCTATTTATTCTTAACAGTCTGGCACTAGCGGATCCAYTTTTTTCTTTTGTTATCCTTCTCTTTGACAACAAGTACAGTTTTTTCTATTTCTGACTTCAGAGAAACTGTGTATATTCCAGATCATCTCATACAAGCATAAAGTTTAGATAGAAAACAATTGTTGAAAAGTAAGGCATAGTATGGAAATATAATGATTAGGAAATGTAAGATAGATGGTTGGGTTTTTGGTTTTTTTGGTTTTTTTTTTATCTCTTTGTTTTATTCAAGAAATTGGGGACTTTGAAGATGAGTATTTTTTTTGGTATTTGGATTTTAAATGTGCTGAAATTCTTTCCAGATATTAGTTTTGGATTTTTGCAGGTGGGTTGGTTTGGTTTTGGGTGGTTTGCTGTTGGTTTTGATTTTGGTTTTTTGTTGAGTTTTTCTTTTGGCTGTTGCTGGGGTTTT